CAAGGAAGGCTTGGGTAGAGAAGGAAGAATTTGCGTTTGTCAACAGAAGAGTTTCGGACGCATTGTGTCAATTTTGCGGAACTCGACGAAACAATATCAGCTCAGCCAACTCTGTATGTTGTGGTTCGCTTCAATTGGGATGTTCAAAGTGTTCGCTCTTGGGCCGTGCGAGTGCGAATGCGAGCGCATCTTGCGAGAGGTTCCTTGCAATACGGATTCTGACGACAGGTTCCACAAACTAGCAGAGTTGAACCTAAGCATTTTCCTTAATCAACGCTTGGATACGCAAGCAATGCCTCACTGAGCAACTTTGACTACCAAGTCTTCTATGTCTTTTTCTCTTCTTCTCTTTTTGGGAAGTTAACTTGCTACATTTTCTCAACTTACAAGAAATAAACAATCTCATTGGACTTGCGATCCCCAGTAGAGACAACGTGCTTAGAAAATATTGATTTCTAGAGAGAGTGCGAACTCATATCAAAAATAAAGGCTGTATCAGATTTGGTTATCTGCTAAAATTAACCGGAATGTTCTAAACATAATGCGCTCTTACAACTCCTCTACTTTTTCAGTCAGAACGTTTCTCTAGAAAGTAACGAGTATACTTATTAAAAAGCATAAACCTACAGTTTGCTTTCATTGCTGAATCGCAATAAGATTGTTATCACATTGAAAATACACATTACAAATATGACCCATGTGATCCCGACAAGAATCTTCATGATTCGCTGAAAATGCCTAATGAGTTTCAAATAAATAGATCTAGATTTTAAGAAAGTCTCACAAGACTTCTCTTCAATTTCACTTTCTCTTTGGATTTCTTTTTCCTTAATCTTCTCTTCAAATTCACTTTCTCTTTGGATTTCTTTTTCCTTATTCTTAATGAAAATGGTCGTACCAAAATTTTGATGCTTTTAACGAATGCAAGGAATCTACGAGGTTCCTTTTTGACAGTTTCAGCCGATCGCCCCGTTGTTCCAACACTTGTCTCAGCTGATTTGCTGACTTCTTTGGATTTTAGCTCTTCCTTCGATGTAAGAATTTCTCCAGATTTAATCTGTTCACTAGATTTTACCGTCTCCTGTGATGTGATTTTTTCTGCTGAATCTGGCTTTTCAAAAGATTTTGTTTTCTCAGCAGATTTGATGGTTTCCCCGGATAATTTTGATGTCTCCTTTGATCCGGTTGTTTCCTTTGACTTGGACTCTTTTCCAGACTTGATTGTCTCAAAGGAACCTGTTGCCTCCTTTGATTTGGTTGTTTCTGCAGATTTCGTAGTTCCAGTCAGCACCCCTGAAGGTTCTTTTGATCTCGATCTTTCTTCAGATTTGACTGCTTCGCCGGAAAGGTGCTGTGTGCCTTTCGAATTTTTATCTTCTTTGGATTTCTTGCCAAAGCCTCTAAAACTTTTGTATAAACATGATTATATTAAAGGCAGAACTGACAGTTTGTGGATAGGCGTCACGTCTCCTTTTCTAAATATCAGCAATTACTCTGTATCAGCAACTATTACTTAACCTCTCAGCAATAATCCTA